AAATGACATGGCATTTAAAAAAGTGAGAAAATTGTAGCTATAAAAGAGAAAAAAAAAGAAGGGCTGTGATGCCATACATAGTTGAAAAACACAAACAAACAAAACTGAAAGACAAACAAAACTGAAGATAACTGGAAAATAAAAGAAGCAGAATATAATTTTGCTTTATATTCAGCAAGATTCCAGTTTGCTGCCTAAAAAAAGATCCTCTCCACATAAAGAATCAATGTTTTTTCTTTATCATTTGTATTTTACATCTCTGACTTAAAGTTACAAACTAACTCTAGCAGGAATATTTATAGATTATAAAACATGTTACTCAGCAAGCACTGTCATGTTTTTTGCTACATTTATATATTAAAACATCCTCATGACTTATGAAGCCTCCTTAATACTTACCTGAATGTTATGGGAAGTCAGGGACCCCGAACAGAGGGACCAGCTGGAGCCGTGGCAGAGGAACATAAATTGTTTAGATTTCATCTTAATATGGACATTTATCAGTTCTCATATAATACTTTTGTAATTTCTTATGCCTGTCTTTAATCCTGCTATCTTTGTAAGCTGAGGATGCACATCACCTCAAGGCCACTGTGATAATTGTGTTAACTGTACAAATTGATTGTAAAACGTGTGTTTGAACAATATGAAATCAGTGCACCTTGAAAAAGAACAGAATAGCAATTTTTATGGAACAAGGGAAGACAACCACAAGGGCTGACTGCCTGCGGGTTTGGGTAAAAAGAGTCATATTTTTTTTTTCCTTGCAGAGGGCCTATAAATGGACGTGCAAGTAAGAAACATATCGTTAAATTATTTTCCTAACAAGGAATATTAATACCCTGGGAAAAGAATGCGTTCCTGGGGAGAAGTCTATAAACGGCCATTCTGGGAATGTCTGTCTTGTGCCGTTAAGGACTGAGATAAGCCCTGGTATCCTGCAGAACCCTTAGGCTTACTAGGGTTGGGAAAACTCAACCCTGGTAAATTTGTGGTCAGACTGGTTCTCTGCTCTCGAACCCAGTTTTCTGTTAAGATGTTTATCAAGACAACACGTGCACTGCAGAACATAGACCCTTTTCAGTGGTTCTGCTTTTGCCCTTTGCCCTGTGATCTTTGTTGGACCCTTATCAGTGGTTCTGCTTTTGCCCATTGCCTTGTTCCCTCAGAAACATGTGATCTTTGTTAGACCCTTATCAGTGGTTTTTTGTTCTTTGAAGCATGTGATCTTTTTACCTACTCTCTGTTCTTACACGCCCTCCCCTTTTGAAACCCTTAATAAAAGACTTGCTGCTCAGGCGGGCATCATGGTCCTACTGATATGTGACGTCACCCCTGGCGGCCCAGCTATAAAATTCCTCTCTTTGTACTGTCTCTCTTTCTCAGCCGGCTGACACTTACGGAAAACAGAAAGAACCTATATTGAAATACTGGGGGCGGGTTCCCCCGATACCTGAACTGGCTCAATCAACAAATAAATTTACTTCTGTCAATTATAAAAAGTGAAAGGAATAATTACTAAAGTAGGCTTACATAAGGTTCTTCAATTAAAAGAACAAAATAGAAAGTTTTAATTCAATGAAACAATACACTAATCGTGTCATTACATCTAAAATTATTTTGTGTGCCCTACTAAATTTTATAAAAATAGGGTATATCTTTGACCACTTCACATAATGAAAACCTCATAAACTATAAAAGAAAAAAATTACAAGAAACAACAAAAAAAGTGGGCCTAGCATGAGTACCAATCAAGCAAAAGCAAAATGTGCATTAGCAGATTTTGAATCCATAAGCCATACTATTTTACAGTAATTCAGTAGAAAGAGTATAGATTTGCTTTCAGCATTTTTGAGGTTTATAGTTTTCTAGTAAATTAACTTACTAAAATGTTTTCTTCCAGTATTGCTCTTTTCTCCTGAAAATAGGTACAAATTTATATTCACACAAACATGCCTACTTACTCCATAATTTTCTTACACCTAGGGTTTAACTTAAATGTATGTATATACTTAACTTTATGTAAATCAAAACTGTATGTGTTTCCAGGCAGAGAAGCCACATGTTCAAAAATATATAACATTTTAATGTTTATTTAGGACTCAGAATGTATGGACTTTATTTACACTTCTATACAATTTTTAGTATAACCATAAAAATAGCTCTGTAGTCAATAACAATCGTACATTAAAAAAAACTAAAACTGTAGAGTTGGTTTATAATACAAAGGATAAATGCTGGAGATGATGGATACTTAATTTTCCCTGATGTAATTATTACATATTATATGTCTGTATCAAAATATGCTATATATGGCATATACACAATGTATCCACAAAAATTAAAAAGTATAAATTTAAATAAGAAATAAATATTTAACCTATGGGAACAATATTCTTTAACCTCCTTGCAGTTTAAAGTCACTGGCAAAGGGGATTACTAGAAATGTTAGTCCATTATGTTACCAAAGAGTATGGTACCATCTTTTGCCTACACCCTTGAGTAAGGTGAAATAGGTTAAAATTAGTGGCATAATAACTTTATTAAATGCACAATTTTATAAACATGTTAAATAAAATTTTAATAAAATATTGTTCACACATAATTTAAAATTTTAAGAATGTACATTTTATTACATAAAAGTACAATTAGTAATTTACTAATTTTAACTAAAATTTAAAATGTTTTCTCACTATAATGCAGATTACTCTGAACACCTACTTCATGTGTCACTTATATTAATAAAGAGCCTCTCCACTTAGATTTTTATCATGTGTCTTACATTTTAATGTTCTTACCCTTCCATAAAGATCATAACGCCCACCTAATAAAAAAAAATTGTATCTCTGATGTAGCAACAATTAGTCACAAGTTTTTATATGTGAATACAAATGAAGAAAGAGCAAGAAGTAATTTGAGTTGAATTAC